ATCACAACTCCACACTAGCACCACCACAACCTCCAGCACCACCATCTCCATCACCAACTCCACCACTAGCACCACCACAACCTCCACCACCACCACGAAGCAGAGAACAGGTCCCTTGAATAGCGTTCTTCTGTTCACCTGCAGAGATAGAAATGTACACCCCAACCCGAACAGTTATACTAGCTGTTATATACCTCAAAATGTATTGAATCTGCATAGCCGTAGTTCTGTGAGAGGGACGGAAAATGGTATAAGATATACACATAAGGGAACTGGTTTCCTGCCAGTAGATTAGGGAGGTAGATGTAGAATGGAAAGGATGAAGAAGCAGATATAAGGGACTTTTGTAATGTCTAGGGTTATTTCATTTAGGAAGTTTTGTTATGATAAGGATAATAATATTGATATCATTATTATTGTTATTGTTATTATCATTATTATAGTTATTATAGATATTGTTTTTATTATAATAATCACTGTTATTATTATTATTATTGTTAGTTATTTTTTTTAGCAACATCATTATTATCATTATGATAATCTTAGTACTGTTTTTATTATTAGTTTTCTTATTTTTAAATGATAGATCAAAGTTACAATAATCATTTTATATTATTATTGTTCCTATTATAATCATTATTATTGCTGGATTCATGGGTATGAAAGTACACATAGGTGCAAGCACAAGTACAATCACACATGTAATATACAGAAGAACTGAACCCTTGTAAGTAGGTAGGTAGGTAAATAGGTGGGATTTGAATATGTGAACATTTTAATGTGATTTAAGGACAAGTGAGGGAATGACTGGTCGCCAGCAAATGAACCGCTGAACAAAGGAATAAGAAGACAGAGAAGATCATGAAAATCCTGGAGGGGACAGGGATGAACGGACAGACATTGGGAGTAAATGGACAGATAAGGGGAATGGATTGCAATGAAGCTCTCGCTTTCCTCTTTCCCTTTCTTTCCAACTCCTCTTCCTACACTTCCTCAGTTTCCTTCCCCACCTTTCCCACTCCCCTTCCTTAACTTCCACGACTTTGCCTTCTCCCCCTGTTGCTTCGCCTTTTCCTTCTATCCCATTGTCTTCTCCTCCTTCCCTTGCCTCACCCGTGGTCCGTCCTCCAAAGAGTGAAGAAGGCGCTGCTGCAGTCCAGTGCCATCTTGGAGGCCTTTGGCAATGCCGAGACCAACCGCAGTGACAACTCCTCCCGCTTTGGCAAGTACATGGACATCAACTCTGACTTCAAGGATGACCCCATTGGTAGCCACGCACAGAGTTACCTGCTGGAGAGGTCCCGTGTCGTCCTCCAGCAGCCAGGAGAAAGAAACTTCCACTCATCCTATCAGGTATGGAACCTTTTTTTTTTTTATTCTTTTTTTTTTTGGGGGGGGGCGTGTAAATCAGTTTATTTTGGTATTTCATATTGAATTGAGACATCTTTTCAATTCAAGTAGTATCTTTATGCTTTATGGCAGTGCTAACAAAATGGAGTGATGATCCTAGTTTGCCTGTTACCTATTTCTATTTTTTATTATTATTATTATTATTATTATTATTATTATTATTATTATTATTATCATCATCATCAGTATTGGTATCATCGTTATTAGTATTACTGTTATGTTTATGGTTATTGATATAATTGTTTTTTTTTTTTTTTTTTTTTTTTTTTAATAGCAATGATGCCACTGCACAGGTTATTGATTAAAGATGAAATACTGAAAAGATAATGCTTAGTCCCTCGCCTCCTAACTCTCTGATTCCACCACAGGGTGACATGAATTCACTTCTGGGGGTGATGTGTCGCCGGTCAGGTGACCAAGGCACTATGCCGTCGCGTGATTGCAGCGAGAGGCGAGGTCATGGAGAAGCGGCACACAGAGAGCGAGGCCAGCTATGGGCGTGATGCGGTTGCCTCGGTTAGCAAGTCATAGGCAGCCTCCTTAATCACATTTGGTGAGCGAGTGATTTAGCGAGTAGTGGTTGAGTCAGGAGACAAAGGACGTTGATCTCCAGGGTAAGGGATGAATTTTTTATTTGGGTGGAAACTGCAGTCCATGGTGTTGAGAGTACATCTGACAAGTTGATAATTGTGTTCTAACTCCCGTCTTTTTATATCTCTGTTATTCTCTCTCTACTTTATTTCAAATATTAATTGTAGTATGGGTTTTATCCGCTGCTATTTGAAGAAGGAAGGAGCCATTAAAGGCACCTTGAATACCGCGCATAACTCTTACAGGTGATCGCTGGAGACGTCCTCGTGGGGAACGGCAGAGTGGGGAGTGCGAGGGACGGGAGGGAGACGCCTCGGCATCCGCGAGAGGAAGCCCAGGTTCCTCTGCGTCCCGGTCTGCTGCCAGGAACACGATGGACGAAGGTGGGTTCAGGGAGGCGAGTTGCTGCACGGCGGTCGAAGTCCGCCTGTCTCCTCCCGGCTCTTCTTGCTCATTGGGGATTGGGGATTAAAAGTCGTCCTTCCAGTATCTAGTTATGCATATGATTTTAAATGATTTTAGCAATTTTTTGTAAAATTCATGTAAATGTGCAAGTAAATTAATGAACCAAAAAAGAAAAGAAAAGAAAAGGAATACGTTGGTACACAAAAAATATTTCTTATTTCCTTTATGGTCAATGATTGTAAGAAGTTTTTTTTTTCATTGTTGTTCATTGAATTATATATTTTATTATTGATGCTATTATTTTTTGTAGGTGTTATCCTCAAGCCTAGTGAGGAAGATCAGCAGAAATGACAAGATGTCTGAGCGAGCCATCCTGGTGACAGACAGACAGATCTGCAAACTGCACAGCAAGACTCACGCCTTTGGGATCCCCCATTCCAGGAGGTGAGAATTGGCATTTTTTCTTTCCTTCTTTTCTTTTCTTTTCCTTGCTGCTTTTACTTCTTAACTTACTTTTTTGGGCGTAATTTTTCTCTTATTTTCTCTCTGTTACATTCATCTTCTCGTTTCCTTTCTCTCTCACATTTCTTTTGTTTCTCTCATTTTCTTTTCCTTTCTTTCTCTGATGTTTAATTTTTCTCATTTTCATTTTCTTTTCCTTTTTATGTGTGCATGCGTGTGTATCACCAGCACCAGCACAACCACCATCACTACACCACCACCACATCCATCACCATCACCAGCACCACCTCCACCAACAGCACTATCACCACCATCCCACCACTACCACCAGCACCATTACCACCACCTCTACCACCTCCACCACTAGCACCACCACCACCACCACTACCTCCACCACCATTACCACAACTGCCACCACCAGCACCATTACCACCACCACCACCTATACCACCTCCACCACCTCTACCAGCACCACCTCCACCACCTGCACCACCACCTCTACCACCATCACCACTACCACCACCGTCACTACCACCACCACCGCCATTAAAACACTGCCACCACCAGCACTGTCTCCACCACCACCACCACCTGCACCACCTCCACCACCACCGCCTCCACCACCACCACCACCTGCACCACCTCCACCACCACCTCTACTATCACAAACACTGCCACCACCAGCACCATCACCACCACCTCCAACACCCCTTCCACCACCACCATCACCACCACCACCAGCATCAGCACCTCCACAACCAGCACCATCACCTGCACTACCAACACCACCACTATTACCACTACTAGCGTTATTACCACCAACACCACCACAACCACCACCGCCATCACCACAACCACCACTACTAGCACTTCCACTACCACTTCCACCACCAGCACTATCACTACAAGCACCATCATCACCACCTCCTTCACCATGACCACCACCAGCACCACCACCTCCACAACCAGCACGATCACCACCAACATCAACACCACCACTATTACCACCAGCACCACCTCCACCAACAGCACCATCACCACCTTCACATACACCTCCATCACCATCATCACCACCACCACCGTCAGCACACCTGCACTACGACCATCAACACCATCACCACCGCCACCACCACTACCACCTCCACCACCAACACCATGACTATTACTAACAAAACCATCACCACCTTCACCACCAACACCATAACCACCACCTCCACCACCACCACCTCCACTAGCACCATCACCACCAACACCACCACCTGCACCATAGCCTCCACCACCACCATCACCACCACCAGCCCCATCTCCTTTAGCACCTCCACCACCAGCACCACAACCACTCCCACCACCACCACCATTAAAACACTGCCACCACCAGCACCCGTTACCACCACCTCCTCCACCACCTCCACAAACAGGACCAGCGCCACCTCCACTCCATCTCCACCACCATAATCAGCACCTCCGCCAGCGCCACCAACAGCACCAGCAATAACACCACAACCTCCACCACCACCACTTCCACCAGCACCACCAGCACCATCATAACCACCAGCACCATCACCTCCACCAGCAGCAGCACCACCACATCCAGCACCATCGCCACCACCATCACTATCACCACCAGCACCACCACCACCTCCATAACCACCAGCGCCACCACAACCTCCACCTCCACCAGCATCACCACCATCACAACCACCACCACCATAGCCACCACCTCCACCACCAGCATCATCATCACCAGCGCCATCACAACCACTACCACCTCCACCACAAGCAACAGCACCACAACCTCCACCTCCACCATCACCGCGACCACCTCCACCACCATCTCCATCACCAACTCCACCACTAGCACCACACACCACACACCACCACCTCCACCACCATCAACCACCTCCACCACCATCTCCATCACCAACTCCACCACTAGCACCACCACAACCTCCAGCACCACCACCTCCACCACCATCTCCATCACCAACTCCACCACTAGCACCACCACAACCTCCAGCACCACCACCTCCACCACCATCTCCATCACCAACTCCACCACTAGCACCACCACAACCTCCAGCACCACCACCACCTCCACCATCTCCATCACCAACTCCACCACTAGCACCACCACAACCTCCACCACCACCACCATCTCCATCACCAACTCCACCACTAGCACCACCACAACCTCCAGCACCACCATCCATCACCAACTCCACCACTAGCACCACCACAACCTCCAGCACCACACCTCCACCACCATCTCCATCACCAACTCCACCACTAGCACCACCACAACCTCCAGCACCACCACCTCCACCACCATCTCCATCACCAACTCCACTAGCACCACACAACCTCCAGCACCACCATCTCCATCACCAACTCCACCACTAGCACCACCACAACTCCAGCACCACCATCTCCATCACCAACTCCACCACTAGCCACCACAACCTCCAGCACCACCACCTCCACCACCATTTCCATCACCAACTCCACCACTAGCACCACCACAACCTCCAGCACCACCATCTCCATCACCAACTCCACCACTAGCACCACCACAACCTCCACCACCACCACGAAGCAGAGAACAGGTCCCTTGAATAGCGTTCTTCTGTTCACCTGCAGAGATAGAAATGTACACCCCAACCCGAACAGTTATACTAGCTGTTATATACCTCAAAATGTATTGAATCTGCATAGCCGTAGTTCTGTGAGAGAGGGACGGAAAATGGTATAAGATATACACATAAGGGAACTGGTTTCCTGCCAGTAGATTAGGGAGGTAGATGGTAGAATGGAAAGGATGAAGAAGCAGATATAAGGGACTTTTGTAATGTCTAGGGTTATTTCATTTAGGAAGTTTTGTTATGATAAGGATAATAATATTGATATCATTATTATTGTTATTGTTATTATCATTATTATAGTTATTATAGATATTGTTTTTATTATAATAATCACTGTTATTATTATTATTATTGTTAGTATTTTTTTTAGCAACATCATTATTATCATTATGATAATCTTAGTACTGTTTTTATTATTATTAGTTTTCTTATTTTAAATGATAGATCAAAGTTACAATAATCATTTTATATTTATTGTTCCTATTATAATCATTATTATTCATTCTGGGTATGAAAGTACACATAGGTGCAAGCACAAGTACAATCACACATGTAATATACAGAAGAACTGAACCCTTGTAAGTAGGTAGGTAGGTAAATAGGTGGGATTTGAATATGTGAACATTTTAATGTGATTTAAGGACAAGTGAGGGAATGACTGGTCGCCAGCAAATGAACCGCTGAACGAATAAGAAGACAGAGAAGATCATGAAAATCCTTGAGGGGACAGGGATGAACGGACAGACATTGGGAGTAAATGGACAGATAAGGGGAATGGATTGCAATGAAGCTCTCGCTTTCCTCTTTCCCTTTCTTTCCAACTCCTCTTCCTACACTTCCTCAGTTTCCTTCCCCACCTTTCCCACTCCCCTTCCTTAACTTCCACGACTTTGCCTTCTCCCCCTGTTGCTTCGCCTTTTCCTTCTATCCCATTGTCTTCTCCTCCTTCCCTTGCCTCACCCGTGGTCCGTCCTCCAAAGAGTGAAGAAGGCGCTGCTGCAGTCCAGTGCCATCTTGGAGGCCTTTGGCAATGCCGAGACCAACCGCAGTGGCAATCCGCAGGCTCCTCCCGCTTTGGCAAGTACATGGACATCAACTCTGACTTCAAGGATGACCCCATTGGTAGCCACGCACAGAGTTACCTGCTGGAGAGGTCCCGTGTCGTCCTCCAGCAGCCAGGAGAAAGAAACTTCCACTCATCCTATCAGGTATGGAACCTTTTTTTTTTTCTTTTTTTTTTTTGGGGGGGGGGCGTGTAAATCAGTTTATTTTGGTATTTCATATTGAATTGAGACATCTTTTCAATTCAAGTAGTATCTTTATGCTTTATGGCAGTGCTAACAAAATGGAGTGATGATCCTAGTTTGCCTGTTACCTATTTCTATTTTTTTATATTATTATTATTATTATTATTATTATTATTATTATTATTATTATCATCATCATCATCAGTATTGGTATCATCGTTATTAGTATTACTGTTATGTTTATGGTTATTGATATAATTGTTTTTTTTTCTGTTTTTTTTTTTTTTTTTCAATAGCAATGATGCCACTGCACAGGTTATTGATTAAAGATGAAATACTGAAAAGATAATGCTTAGTCCCTCGCCTCCTAACTCTCTGATTCCACCACAGGGTGACATGAATTCACTTCTGGGGGGGGTGATGGGTCGCCGGTCAGGTGACCAAGGCACTATGCCGTCGCGTGATTGCAGCGAGAGGCGAGGTCATGGAGAAGCGGCACACAGAGAGCGAGGCCAGCTATGGGCGTGATGCGGTTGCCTCGGTTAGCAAGTCATAGGCAGCCTCCTTAATCACATTTGGTGAGCGAGTGATTTAGCGAGTAGTAGTTGAGTCAGGAGACAAAGGACGTTGATCTCCAGGGTAAGGGATGAATTTTTTATTTGGGTGGAAACTGCAGTCCATGGTGTTGAGAGTACATCTGACAAGTTGATAATTGTGTTCTAACTCCCGTCTTTCTTTATATCTCTGTTATTCTCTCTCTACTTTATTTCAAATATTAATTGTAGTATGGGTTTTATCCGCTGCTATTTGAAGAAGGAAGGAGCCATTAAAGGCACCTTGAATACCGCGCATAACTCAGGTGATCGCTGGAGACGTCCTCGTGGGGAAACCAGAGTGGGGAGTGCGAGGGACGGGAGGGAGACGCCTCGGCATCCGCGAGAGGAAGCCCAGGTTCCTCTGCGTCCCGGTCTGCTGCCAGGAACACGATGGACGAAGGTGGGTTCAGGGAGGCGAGTTGCTGCACGGCGGTCGAAGTCCGCCTGTCTCCTCCCGGCTCTTCTTGCTCATTGGGGATTGGGGATTAAAAGTCGTCCTTCCAGTATCTAGTTATGCATATGATTTTAAATGATTTTAGCAATTTTTTGTAAAATTCATGTAAATGTGC